CCGGGGTCCATGACCATGGTTTGTCCTTTTTTAAAGTTGGTTGAGAGGCCCTCTCAAATTTTGCATGTTCTTAATGAACCCTTGATAAAAGTTAGCTAGGCCGAGGAAGCTTTGTAACGCTTGAGCGTTATCTGGGTCCGGCATGTTTCTGATCGCGTTGCCTCTTTCTGGATCCGGCCGACGACCGTCTTTATTTATGACGTGCCCTAAGTATTTAATCTCTGGTAAGAAAAAGTCACACTTTGCCTCCTTACCCTTAAATCCGTATTTTTGTATCTTTTCGGATACGTTTATTATATGGTTCCGGTGCTCTGCCGTAGTTTTACTAGTAATCAGTATATCATCCAAATAGGCTGTTGCGTAGTCAAGGTCGCCCAGCATGGCGTCCATGACCTGCTGGAAAATTGCAGGCGCAACCTTTACTCCAAAAGCCAGTCTGTTGTATTTGTACAACCCTCTATGGGTGTTTATGCAGAGCAATTTGGAACTTTCTTCTTCCAACTCTATCTGAGGTATGCTTCCGAGAGGTCAATTTTAGAAAAAAAATTTTCCACCATTGAGTTTATTGAAAATTTCTTCAGGGCTTGGGAGAGGATAGTGGTGATCTTGCAAGGCATCGTTTAACCCTGTGGAAAAATCTGCGCATACTCGTATTTGATTGGACTTCTTTTTTACGTAGACCGTGCCCACTCGCTGAAATCTGTTTTTGACAGAATAGCTGCTTGTTCGAGTCTATCTAACTCTTTGTTGATTTGCTCTAGAGCAGCGAAAGGGACATTCCGTTTGTTTTTGAATCGCGGTTGTGCACCGTCCTTCACCTTGAACTTGTCATTTTAGTACATTTTCCAAGGCCGCCAGAAAAACATGGGGAAATTGTTGTTTGAGTTCCTTTTTTAGATTTACCAAATTGGACGTTGTACTTTGTATCTTGCGACAAAATGTACTCATTGGGCAATCCCAAAGATTGAATTTTTCTATCCAATCTGTTCCAAATAAGTTAACTGAAGTTTTCAATACGTAGGCTTTGAGCTTTTTGGTAACTCCATTTAGTGTTACTGTAAGTATTACCTCGCCTAAAATGTTAATCTTTTCACCAGTTACGAATTTTGCTGTTTTATTCGTTTTTAATAAGGTCGGCTTGTTTAATTTTCGCCAAGTACTCCAGTTAATGGTTGAAAGATCGGAACCCGAGTCAAGCTGGAATTTAATGGAATTATTGAAAATATCCAGTTACATATTTCCTTAAATTCCTATCGACAGATTGAGCTTGCCTAATTTTATCTTTGGGTTTTCTCGTTCTGTTGGCGTACCAGCACGAAGTTAAAGTATGCCCACTTTTATTGCAATTTTTGCAATATTTTTTGTTCTTAATTGGACAGAATTTCATCCAAGAAATTGACGGAATTGTACATCTTCATTGTAAAAAACAAACGTAAAAACATGTGTAGTGCTTGAGCTTTGTTCTTTGTTAGGGGCTGCGGCTGGGGTCTTAAAAGGGGCTTATGCTAAGTCTGGGGGCATCATCACAGTTCTATTTTAAAAAATGTTTTAATACAGTATTTACAATGGTTGTATCAATCTGTGCGTAATTAAAAATGATTATTCTACGGATGAAAGGAAATTTACGCTAAATGTATGGTCACCAATACTATTTTTCCAAAATGGTTTAAGATGGATCTGAAATGTTTCTATAGTGTTTAGGATGAAAGATTAAGGTATATGGGCTTTTAACAATCAAAATATGTACTTATAATCACTTGGTGGGGGGCTTACAAGTATTCGCGGATTCTAACTATTCGCGGCTGGTTCTGGTCCCTAACTCACTGTATTCCATTTTAACCAGGCTGGAAAGAGGGGAAAATACACTACTTGGTTTCAGTAAGAAAGAAAGAAAGAAAGGAAGGAAGAAAGAAAGAAAGAAAGAAAGAAAGGAAGAAAGAAAGAAAGAAAGAAAGAAAGAAAGAAAGAAAGAAGTATTTAACCTGTCCTGCTAATACCTCTTAAATAAAACCTTATTAAAGAGAGAGAATAATGAAAAGAAAACGGGTATTAAGAAGACAGAGGATAACAGAAAATAGTGAGACCTATCTGCCAATCGAGCGTTATGCTTAAATTCGTAAGATCTAGATAACATTAGAATAATTACCATGAAAATATTTATTGAAAAGCCACATTCCTGCTGTGGGAAAGTGACTAAAGCCGAAAAGCCAGGTCTGAACAGATAACATTGCCGATTCTGATCGTCACCCCGACATTTCATACCTTCTGATAAAAACATTTCGCAAGAATTTGACATGCCTTCCAAATATATGCATTTGGGAAAATATTTTACAAGAATATGATGATTATTCAATCATTATTCTAACTGTTACATTTACAATAATATCCACTCCTTAGAAGGACCAAGAGCCACTCGATGTAGAGAGTTATAGAGTAAGACGTAATCAGTAGGGCTTATGAAGGTATGTAGAGAACATAACGATTAACCCTGGACTTGAACAGTTTATGATTGTAATGATAGGGAAAGCATCCTCATGGGAGTTGGTTCCAAAAAAATAGCGGATGTAGAGAATCCCAATGAACACCAATGGAATACGAAAAGAATGGTAATACTTTACTGCAATGTGCGTGAGATGACAGGTCTTAGCTGTGAAACAGGTGGAACTAAGGAATGTTGTTCGTCTGAACACTTTTACGGGAAATAACGATAGAATATCGAGAGGCTTGCTACTTTTTCGTCTGTGGAAAGGGGCTGTATTGTGGAAAATAATTAATGGCCCACTAAGCTGCGTTGACGCTTTTGGACACTATCGATACAGGAAAGAGAAGGCTGTGTAACTCCTGCCGATATAAGGCAGAAGTACTCCATTTTATGCCTGAGATGACTCTTGTAAAGGTCGAGGTTAACAGGACGAGTCTGTTACTTACAGTAGCATTACCGGGAATCGACCATTTTTGTGAATCTTTAACTACGGATCGTATGTACTTGAGGTCTTAGGTGAGCTTAAGTCCCTTCAGGAGATCAAAGCATGGGACTTCCTTGAGA